AAACCAACACGAAAACCATGTTCATAAGTAGTTGATTGAACACCATCACGTCTTTGTCTAAGAACAGCAACTGGGAGGTTATCCAATATCCTGCAATGCAGAGTGAAAATCAAATACAAAAACCAATAAAAGTGGTTGAATCTTAAATAGATTTTTATAAAGAACCCTTGAAAAAGTAAGTTTAACACTTACATGTTAACTCGGTACTCATCGTCAATTTTTTCTTTGAACTTCTTTGAAGTTTCAGCATTAAGCTTTACTCTGCAACCAACTTTGCATGGTTGTTCCTCTCTCATAAGAAACTGAAACAGGAAATAGAAAGTTAGGTGAAAATACACAAGGGGTAAAAGTGATGTTGAATAATAGAACAGACTACAGAGGTCATGTTAACCTTGACCAGGAATTGGATGGGAAGGTCCTCACCGTGTAGACTGAATTCTCAATGCGGTCACCTCTTAGCACCTCCCCCAAATTTTCAGCACTGTTTTCAACATGCTTAGGTTTACAGTAATTCAAGTAATAGTACTCATAGGGAAGTTGTGTTTTTGTAGAAGAAAGCTTGTTGACTTTAACTTGAAGAGGATCCCCCTGGCAAGATGATCAGCAATTCGTTTAACAATTAACAAAAGATCCATAATCTTATCACTTCATATAAGCAAAGTAGCAAAACGAATACAGAAAACAACTAGCTGGTAAGATTTCAGATCTCCAAGGTCCAGTGCAAATAAAGAACCAGGACAAAAGAATGGCACATTTAATGAATTGGTAAAGTCTCTATTTTCGTTAAGGGGGGAATCTTTTTGAGTATAACAGTGTCAAATTGCCTTATATCGTAAGGCTATAAACATCCTAGTCACAAAAACATAGAACCCCCGTATTTATGAGTCCTAAAGCTATCAAGTCAATCAGATCTGGAAATGAGATGGTCAATAAAAACTCTTTGTAGACTAAACCAGTACTCACCAATGACATTGATCTGCACTTTACAAATTTTAACCATCATTTACCACTGAAGTGATCTTCACTTTACAATGACTAGCTATCACTACAAATGCATCTACCCTGTAACCCTAGAGGAAAGAATTATCATTTAAAGCATGCCACATGTTACATAAAGAACATTTACGCCTTCGTTTGTCGATAATATAAATCCGGCATTAGACAAGCAACAAGAACAGTCTAGGAACAGAAAGAAGAAAATCATTCTTCAGCATTGCGCATGCTAAAGTCAACTAATTAGATCTATCCACCAGCACCAAATCTGTGTATGACAGATCAGTGACTTGCATTGAAAGTTGAAATTTAACCTCAAAGCAACAACCCTAGATTTAAGCGCGGTTGGTACGGATCATGCACTAAGACTGAGATTTTGAAGTGAAATCAGAGCAACAGAGACAAATCCTTCGCGTTAAACATATACACAGATGCCGATTTGAGTTACATTAACTAAATTAAATCAAACGAAAATGCTACTGCTAGATCCAAAGGAGATCGAGAGCTTAGTACGTACCCTTTGAAAATCACGGGGCGCAACGCCGGGGAGATAGAATGATTCAGAAGATGAGATGAAGAAGACGATTGAGATGAATAGAGTAAACCAGATTCCACTGGAGCTCCGTTCCATTTTCGAGATCTCGATCGAGTGAGGTGGTATGTGGGTAGAACGAATCCGTGTTTCGTGTGTAGTGATATTAATATAGACGAGCTCCAAATCTAACTCCACACCTACTTTTGCTATTGCCAAATGGACTAAATTACAAAAGTTCTCCCTGGACTATTTAATGATCTTCGGTTTTAGTCCAACAAAAGATTTGCCACATGTTGAACAGAATTTTATTAGTTTTGGCCTTTGGTTATAACAATGATTTCAAGAAATAACAATATATGTTTTTGCTCACCTGAACAACTTTAATCTGTTAAAAGATATTTATTTTGATATGTTATTTTATTGGACTCGATCACTCATTTATCATGATCAACAATCAACAGATTAAATAAATATAGAAATAAATCTTATTAACAGCTATAAACAATATTATAAAAACCAAAAAAACATATTTGTTATAGCATATTATAATACATGAAAGTACAAGGACTAAGGTATGCAGATTTTAAGGATGTAGTGTTCGGGTTTCTTGAAGATACAAATAAATCTTAATTCTGTGGAAAAATCTTATATTCTCATGATTATAGGGAAAAATGTGATATAGCATATCAGAAGATTTAGGCCACAAATTTGTCAAGTGTTTATCTTTATATAGGATGCAATATGACAATTATGAATTGTCAAAACCGTAATTTACTTTACATGACTCAAGACATTTAAGCAATAACTAATTAGTTTATAAAAGCTAAGAGTCAAGCCTAATTTGACTAGCCCAACGCTTCAAATCCAAACCTATGCCCATTAGTCATGCCTTTGTCGATTTCAAAAACTAGTTAACAATTCGATGAAGGTTTATTACTCTTCATTTTTGCCATCTTGTTTCCTATATGAAACAAGTCTTAGTCTTACACATTTATTTTTATCTTTACTCCTTCAGGTTGAAAGTTCAAATTATGTTTAAAATATACATGAAATCATGAGTAATTTATTAGTAGATTAGATTTATCGTTACAAAAAAATAATATATAAAAAATTAGAAAAATAGTATGAATCAAGATAAATTTTGTTTTGATTTAGTGGGTTTGTTTTATTTATAAACTCTTTTATCTTATCATTTGACATTTGACATGTCAAAAATACACATAACTTATCATTATTTACCTTATAAGTCTAGCATCCTCATTTGTAGTTTTCCCCTGTAAGTTAAAGATGTTCTTCTTCGCTTGCTTTTTTATATTGATATATAATATAAATTAAAGAGAATGAAAAAGAGAAAACATGATGATAAACCATTTCATGTTTTCATTTATCATGGTCCGATGCCTACCACCTAGCATGTGAAACAGTGTATCGTCATAGTCGATGGAGGGAACCATAACATCGACTTTTAGTTTAAATCGGAAGTACAAAAAATAATAATTAAGCTGATGATTTTAAATAGTTAAGGTACTAGTTTTGTAATATAGTCATTTGCTACTTGCAAGTCTTCGCCTTTTTGCTATTTGGAACACCGACATAGCCACACAAGTTACCACCCAAGTCTTGGGGTTTTCTTAGCCGATAGTTGCACATCGTCAATGAATGTTTCGAAGCTCGTTGTCAAGTTTGATCGTTTTTGCATCTTTGTTGTCTCAAATAAACTTTCAAGATTCTTCCACACTTGACTTGTAGTAACATTTTTTCAATATTATCCGAAAAAGAGTAAAAGACATAGATCCACAATTTCACGATAGAATCCATTATATTTCACTCGGCACTTTCAGATGTATCTGGAGGTTTATCGTTTCATTCATCAAGACAAACACAAACACCATAGCCAATTCAGTGAGTTTGGAACATACAATTTTATGCCCGTATTCCCATAGGGTTTTTTAACTGCGGTATTGTTTGTCATTAAGTAATTTTGCTGTTTGTTTTTTTTTTTAAAATCACTTCAAACCACTTATTACTGCGACGCGCAGCACACGCGCAATACTTGGTCATTCGTAGCTGTTTGTTATTCAGAAGACTTCTGATTTAAAAACTGTTGCGTGTGTACTTGGTCATTCGTAGCTGTTTGTTTTTCAGAAGATTTCTGACTTAAAAACTGTTGCGTGTGTGCTGCGTGGCGCAGCATTAAACCAACTGCTTCAAACTTCTTCACGCCTTAGTTTAAGTTACTGCAGCAGTCTGCAGACGTTAAAAAACAAACATACATTTTATTACATGTTGCAACTGTTTGTTCCACCTCTTCTGCTACAGATGATTGCAGAGGCGGTCTGCACACTTCACGCAATTTTTTTTCGAAAAAACAAACAACATCAGTCGAGATCGGACATGTTTGGTTAGATAATGAGAGAGAAATTTGTCGCTAATAACATGGAATATATTAATTTCCCATTATGATATCTCCTTGATTAACATATAAGTACTATTTACAAATAGATATTGGGCTAAGGAAAACGGATCAATATGACGGACCGACTATACGACAATATAGTTAATACGCTAACAATAATATAGGGATATTATCCTAAAGTCATGCTATGATGATTTTATATAGTTCTTGATAAATATAAAGAGTTGTCGAATTTGGGTTTTAATTAATATTTAAACAGAATGTGATAATGATCGATGAAAAGTTCAAAAGGAACTACATATCAAAATTATAACTTTTAATGATATGCACATCACCACACATGCCACATAAGTCATGTATATGGCATGTGATATATATACCTTTATGCATTGTTATGATTTGTAGGGTTTTTTGTTTTTCATAGAACCTAAAGCTATATATACATATATATATATATATATATATATATATATATATATATATATATATATTCAGAAAAATTACAACTTTATAAAAACTAACATTTTAACCTTCGATTTCACACCACTTTCTATCACTTTTCTTTTCTTCAATCCTTTTTTCATCAAAATAGATTCTAACAAATCTTCCAACAACCTATACTAGCTTTTTAAAAGCTTTTTTAAAAAATTTCAAAAACACCCCTTTAATTAATTATAGAAAAACATACTCTTATATATCCTTTTATGTAATTTTATATATTTCAGCTAGTTTTACCAAACGTTATTTTTTAACAGCTAGTTTTTCAGTCATCAGCTAGCTTTTCAACTAACAACTTTTTTCAACTTGTCCGCCAAACATAGTCTTAGGACGGCTAATATGAACCAAACATGGGGGGATTTTTAAGTTGTAGTTTGTAGTTTCCCTTCTAAGTGAGGTTCCGGTAATTTCCATGACCATAACCATAACAATTAACAAACAATGAGTATCTAATTTATCTTACACAATGTGCCTCGGACGGATTCAACCTTTTTGGGATTTGGTATAAAACATCAAGAAACTAAAAAATTGCAAACACAAATCAAAAAACAACATAAATTCAAGAAACCCAATTAAAAATTACCATTTTCAACCGTTTTTACATCCACAAAATAAACAAAGACAAGAAAAGCCAGAAGCTTTTACATCTCCCTTCAAATAACCAAAATGAAAACATAAGCTCATGGACTCGAATCACGAGTCTCAACGTGCTTTCCTACTAATATTACATTCGCACATAAGCGAACTATATATACACCAATCTTCAAAGTCCGTATACATTACAAGGCTCTTGAACCACAACGGTGTGTTGCATATCTGTACAACTTCACCTTTGGCCTAAGCCTATCATATGGCCGTGTAGCGACCTTGTTCGCATAACGGCTATTCTTGGTTACCAAATATTCATATAAATTTTATAAATAATAACTATAGATATTTGAAATAATTTCATCATCAACTGCAAATGGCTTCAACTGAAAGCTTCTTCATTACTTTTGGGCAAGGATCACCTCCAAATATTTCAGGTGTTACAGGTACTGTGCATGCTTGTTGTCCAACACATAACTGCAAATATTCCAACACCAAAAATATCAATATTTTTGGTCAAAACACGAGAAATAGCAACGTACTTTAACTTATTTGTTTTTATAGCTTCATGCTTTCATTTATTTCTATCACAACATTGTACTTTCAATTTCTTTATTATCAAGGCATTGTCCTACCAACAATCTACCCAATTATATGACCTGTACTTTCTTTTTCTTATTACAACATTATATTTTGAAAAATCTACCAATGCATTGCTATAATAGGAAGAAATGAAAGCAGGATGCAACAATAAACAAAAATGAGAAAAAAAATAAGTACCTTATTGAAGGCATCATAGGAGTTATGAGCATGACAGCTACCCTCACTATAACTACCACAACCCCCTAATGGTGTTCCAAAGCTAGCAAACTTTATAGATGAAATCTTCTGACCAGGGCTACATGAAAGATGAGCTTTTGGCCTCAATGGTTTGGTGACTTTACCAGAAGCTTGCATTTCATAATTCATCAATGAAGGTTGCCATTCATATATATCTGCACACACACTGTAAACCCCTCTTTTCACCAATGATATCCCATAAGGAATTCCTCCCAATTCTTCAAACACCACCAACAAGTTTCCTCTTGGTTTTAACCATGATCGGGGCACATGGTACCTAAAACAAACCATGGTTAGGTTTATGAGTTTGTTGACTATGGAAAAAAGATAGAAACTTTCTTACCATTTTTGTGAAGATTCACCGCATTTACTTAGGCATTTTTTCTCATCAAAATAACCCGCGTAGCTGCAAGTACTACAAGAACCAGATGCCTTGTATGCAGGCCAATAACGTCCAACACTTTGACCATTTATCCATATTTGACCTTTTCCCATACTGCTCATGTCCAAAGCCAAAGGCTCGTTCCCATTTGGAGCATTGAAAACAGTCTTTTAACATAAAGAAAGAAAAAAAAAAGTTAGATTTTATCGTGTAAAAGTTACAACTTTTGGGGGTAAAGATGAAGGTATGTGACAAAAAGTGAATATGATTTCAAGAAAATGTGTAACATGAAATGGGAACTACCTTGTACCATGTCAACGGTTGTCTTTGAGTCACTAATGAACCTTGAATCCACTCAACAGATGAACTACCAGAGAGTGAGTGAAGACTTAGAATTTCGCCTTTCAGGCCAACCTGGTCAAACAGTCAAAGGTCAAGTAAGAAAGTGGCGTGTAGCAAAAAATGTAATCAAGGGTTTCATTTATTTAATGCAAAAAGAAGTGATTGAGGCTCACAAAAATGAAATATTCATAAAAAATACAAACCTTATAAGACCATTTTTGCCATGTCAAGTCTCTCTTCCCTTGATTGAGACCATAAAGTGTGACTGGACCAAGAACACCCGCATTCCATGTCTCAAAATGTGGACCAATATTCTACCAAATTAAATAAAAAAAGTAAATTATAAAAATCAAAAATCCAGTCAAAATGATATGATTATATAAATATATAGATATAGAGAGAGAGAGAACATACTGGGAGACCAACTGCAATGCTTAGTAAAGAAATCTTGTTCAATCCAGCTCTTAGATTTACCGGTTTATTAAAAGTTACTTTTGGATTTTTTTGACTTCCATAAACAGTTCCTGTAAAAAAAACAAATAAGTGTCACGAAAATCACACACAATTATAGTTGCACAAAAATAATGACAAAAAAAATATCTTATTCCTCGTTTGACTCTTCTGACCTGATAGTTGACCGTTGATGAAAACATGCAAAGCATGACCTGCGGATTGGACAGTAAGTGTAGGCCACTTCCCGCTTCTTAAGAACCCTTCATTGGACCCCACCCTGACACTGAGCAAAAAGAAAAAAGTCAACATGTTAGTCAACTCTAATGAATCCAAAGTACAATGCTAATATGAGAAAAAGAAAAACGTCACACTTACTCTGTCATGTACCACAAATAATCGGAAGAATCTCTAGTGACATTAAGTTGCTCCAATAATCCAACTGTTGTAAACGAGTTGTCATCGTAGGATTCGGTTTGATCATTGTATGACTGCCAAGCAAATCCACTCCCTGCTGATGTCATCTTCATCAACGCGGTTTGTGCACCTACCTATAAATTCCATTCATTGTTAAAAATGTCTAAAATACCCTTGTATAACAATAGACATAGAATCCATATGGACCAAAATCGATGTTAATGTTATCGAAAGAATCAAACACTTCAAGTGTGTATTGGATCTGGTCGCTTTGACACCAAAGCCTTGGACTTCTTTTATAACAAGAAACAAAAATAACGAAAAATTTATATAAAATTTTCTTACCCTTGCGGTATTGTAAACGGTGTTCTTGCAGTCAGGCAGGATGCTGACGGACCATGGTGGGAGATTGTACCGTCGGTTTTGAAAGCTTACTGTCGCGTAAGCAGCTCGGTTGTTATTTGAAAGGAAAGCAGCACAGCCTCCAGTTTTGTATTTGTAAACATATGCCTAAAAAGATTACGGTTTATCGAATGTAAGAGGTGGGGTCCACTGCTGACATGGATAAATAGTATTAAAAAATTTAATGTAAATCCAACCTTTTGATAGTTTCCAAGGGTGATGATAGAGGGGTCACTGTTTATTAAAGCGGGCTCACATAGTTTTATTGCTCTATGAAGATCTTTTAGGTGTCCCCACTTAGCTTCCCGTTTTAGTCCTATAAATAGAACATGCATTGAACTTACTCTATCTATATTTAGTAAGGAATATTACGTAATGAAACAGCATTTCTACTCTCTCTCTCTCTCTCTCTCTACATGTCTTTGAATAATTGTCATAATTTACTTGCGTATTGTATTTGTTAAATGTCAAAATGAAAAGCATTAGCTAAATAGAAAACAGATCGAAAATCGTACAAATATGCATACAACCTTCTGAATTGCTTTTGTAAGATTAGATTATTATCATAAGATTATGGTTTTTAATCATATTTAAAACATTAATTATTCATAAATCATACATTCAAACAATTCGACAGAAAAATGTTTGTGGTCACACCTATTTGACTCTGTCATAGAATAAATCCATGTCCACCATCAGACTTGCTACTACTTTTTTATACAGAAAGGGTGGAATATGAAAAGAAAATTTGTGTATTACATCAAAAAAAAAGTTTCTACTTATAGTAATTGTTTTGTGAAATATCTAAAATGCCCTTTTAGAAAGAGTAGAAGAAAGAATCTTATGATCCAAAGTCAATACCATCTATCTGTTTAGAATAATGATAAAATAAGAATGTTTAATCTTATTTTGAACGTCAATAATCGTAAATAGAGACAAAAAAAAGAGAGTCGTACAAGCGAAAATCAAGAGCTTCGGTTGATATCCAACACGGATAATGGGCAAATACGTAATTTTAACTTTAAAAAACATTCCAAGAAACAAACTATTGTCATTGTCTTGGACAAAATGAATATAAAAAATGATACAATGTCTGTGAAAACGATAGTGTGTACTTTTAGTCTTTTATTACCTTACCCTTTGACTGAATAAGGCTTTAAATTATGTTAAATAAACCATACTTAACCCCGCCAACTTAATATTCAAATTTATATTAGTAAAAGATAATATCCACATGAATGCTAATATGAATTATGAAATGTAAAATAGCTTTGTAACATACCAAATTCATCAAGAGGGGCATCATAATCATAACTTGTTGCAATAAACGGGCCACCTGCAGTTCGTCCAAAATTTGTTCCTCCATGATACTGTCAAAAATCAAAATACAACAAAAGAATTAATTTCAATGTGATATTTTCAAGTAATGAAGAATTAAGAAATAAATTAGAAGAAAAACATTTTTATTTACCATATAGTAATTAATAAAAGATCCACCACTTTGGATAAATTTAGCAACTGAATATGCCAAATCTTCAGCTGGTCTATAAGGAACCGCACCTCCAAACTCAGTGAACCTACATTTTATTTTATATAATTTAAATCAACCAATAAATTTGCAAAAATAATATCATGTTGAGTGAAATTACCATCCTGTCCAAGCTTCTGTCCACATTTTGGGCTTGAAATTTTTGTTGGGAGAGAAATAGTCGCAGTAAAATCCATTACAAGTATTTATCTGTCGTTAACAAAAAAGATGTAATCGTTATTGAATTATAAAGCCAAAAAGGGAAAAATTACATATTTATTGCATTAATATGTTTTTTTACCCTTTAAAAGAAAATACAATCGGGTCGGGTCACTTACAACTGGATCAGGGGCATCGTCTTGCTTGCACATGACCCATGGAACTCCGGTTCCTAGACCCACCGCCATGGAAGCCGCCCATTTTGTATAAGCTCGAGCCGGAGCTCCAAGTTCATACTCCAACGGTCCATATTCATTCTCAATCTGTCACAGTAATTTTCGCTATGAATATACAAAGATCGTTTCACAGATTTTCGAAAATTTTAAGATTGTTTTATAGATTTACGAATATTTTAAGGTAAAAATGGAAGCAAATGAGTAACTTTAACTACCTGAGATAAAATAATTGGACCACCTTGCGTCTCGTATAATCTTTCTGCTTTCATCATGTTCACTATGTGCCTTGTGAATTTTTCCATAGCAGCCTATAATAGTAAATATAAATATATATGTAATCATGTCATTACATGATATTTGGAAGAAAATTTGGGAAATCTTGGATTTGACCTTGAAAGGACCATTATCTGTTCTGAAACTGATTCCTGGAACATATTTCAACCAAACAGGAAAACCCCTGAAATTGAAATGACAGACAAGTGTAATTTACTTGTGAAATTGTTAAAAATTACAAGTAAAGATTTTACTATTTCTGTAATAAAAGAAAAAGTTAATTACCCAAAATTCCATTCAGCACAAGCATAAGGACCAACTCTGAGATGAGCATAGAGTCCAGCTTGCTTAATCAGCTTAATGAACTTCACCAAATCATACCTATCTTCGAAATAATACTGGGAAAAAGAAAAGAAATCTTGAAATTAAGAAAATGATTTAGTAAATTAAAATAAAATATTATTTTATTTCAAGAAACACTTACTTGACCAGGTTGTGGTTCATGTCCATTCCAGAAAACATAAGTTTGAATCACATCTAACCCTCCTTCTTTTGCCTTCTGGATAAGATCTGGCCACATCTGAAACAACAAAGTATATAACAAAAAGATTCAGAAACAAGGTAAATAATAAAATCCCAGAATATGATTCTAAATAGAAAGATGAAACTACAAAAGGGGGAAATTATATAAGAAACTCAGGAAACACATGAAGTGCATTGATGAGTTGTACCTCTGGAGTGCTTCTCGGGTAGTGAATGGATCCAGAAATAAGAATTTTTCTTTGGCCATTAATGGAGATAGCTTTGTGGTCGTATGAAACAGACCCGTTACAGAAACAAACCCATGAACACAATAACATCATCAACAGTAAATTAAACTTCGGCATTTTAACAAACCCAATATCCATCAGAAATCTTCGACACAGAGAAAAATCCTGTGTTTTTTTCCCTTATAAATTAGCTTTTATGCCAATTTCTACTTTGCTCTTTCTTGCTTTCTGTATATTAATTTAAAGAAAGATACCAAGAAACACACAAACATACACTAAAAATCGTGTAAAATGTGTGTTTTTATGGAGAGACTAAAGAAAAGATTCTAGTTCTTTGTGAACTTTTGGTTCTTTGTATAAATATTTCAGGATAAAAGGGTAGTGGTGATTGGTGAGTAATGAGAGAGGGGTGTGTGAAAGATTTGAAAATTTTGTGTGCTTTGGAGCTGCATTTAAGCAAAGAAAGATTGGGTTGTCTGCAGCGAAGAAGGAGGGTCCTACTTTTCGGTCGTGGTAACGCGGATTCATTGGATTGTAAATTTAAAAATTTCTAAACAAAGTAACAAATTATTCGGTAGCTGCCTTAGTTCTAAACAATCTATATATCTATAATCTATTATAATATTACTCGTTTTTTTAATAAAATATTTCAGAAAATGTAACAAAATTTTTTTGATTATATTTTTTCAATCAAAACATGAAAATGGGTATATGTGTGAACAAAAATGAAATCGAAAAAATATTTCAAACTGAAAAGATTTTTTGTTTCGTCATTTAATTTATACCAAAAAATATATAAAGGTAAATAAATAAATAAATAGATTATTGTTTTTTTAATATACGTAAAATATTTTAATAGAATATTAAACTGTAAATTTTCAAATAAAATTATTGAAGTTTTAAAATATTATAATATTCTATTATTAAAATATTTTTATATTTTATTAGAATTGTTTGAATATATATAATGTAATATTCTAATAATTTTGTTTTAATATTTATAACGTAATATTTTATTATAATATTTCATATATATTTAAAAACACTAATTTTTTTAATTAATTAAATAATGAAAATAATATTTTAAAAAAATCAAAACTTTTCATTTATTTTTCATTTCAAAACTAATTTTTTTGACCGACTAATATCACATTCTCATGTATTATAAAATTAACATGATTTTTAAATAAACCACCAATCCAAAAAAATCGTAGTTTGAACTAAAACCCCAAAAAAATACATACCACAGGGACCATTTTTGCACTTTTGTATATATATATATATATATATATATATATATATATATATATATATATATATTGGGGTTTTAGTTCAAACTACGATTTTTTTGGATTGGTGGTCCTTTTGAGCTAGTTTACATGCAGTTTTGGTCCCTGTCCAAACTAAAAAGACTATTATGTAACGCCCGTAGATCATGGCTAGTCAATTTAGAGACGATAAGCATCAAAAATGACTTTTTGATAAAAGATTATTTAGAATTAATAATCTTAACTAAGTTGTAGTATATGTTACAAGGATTCCGTACATATAAAGAATGCCGAAATCCGAGTTATAACGAAGAAGTTATGACTTGTTGAAGTTTCGCGACAAAACCGGCACAACGCTGAATGACGTAAAAAGTGAATTTACGTTAGAGTGATATTTAGCCTTAGCAATCTAAACGAGAATCGAAGATCTCGTTGTTAGTAGCGAAACGACGAAAAGTTAAGCGAGAACGGACGTCAAACGAAGAAGTTATGAATTTATAACAAAAGTTTCTGTCCCGGCCTATTAAAAATAAATAATAAAAATAAAAGTCAAAATTAGCCGACGGAGTCTAAACGAAAGTTGTAGAGCGTAGTCTCACCTTCGCGTAGATATAAAGAACGTCGAAAACGGAGTTCGTATGAAGAAGATATGAATTTCCGAAGTTTATTAAATATTTTGTATTTAATTTTAATTAGAAAATCCGGCATTATCCGAAGGAGTCACTGATCTGATCCGAAGTACGCCCCGCGTACAGCGAAGCATGACGACCCTCGCAGCAAGTGGCTTCGGATGATGCATGCCATGACGAATTCGGACGCGTACGCTTGTACGCCCCGCGTACTCCGAGGCTCCAGCCTCCTATAAATAGGATGCGAGGGCAGCCGACTCAAATGCCATTTTTCTCTCTTCTCTCTCCCGTTTTGCATCGTTTTGCGTGCCAGAAATATCCCGAAGCCCCGGTATTATTCTCGAGCCCCAAGGCAAGTTCCGAGATCCCGAAGATCCCGAGAAGTGCGGTTCCGGAGCCGAAGCTCTGCCCGCGAGAAGTTCGATTTTTGTAGAAATCTTCCAGATATGATGAGGATTACTACTTCTACAAGTCGTAGTGTTGTCCGATCATCTTCTAATCAAGTGAGTGTATACTACCTTTCATAAACACGATAATAATACAAGTATGGTTTGAGTGTATTAAGTATATTGTGGTTTATATGTGTGAGTGTGTGGTTACTTTCTTCTAACACATAAGTATGAAGTATTTGCTACGAAATACGTGCTATGTGTTTATATATTGTTGTTTATTGGAGGTATTGGTGGAATGGATGAACTATATAGATTTTTAATGAGTTAAACTATATATATGTATTTTATATCTACAAATATGTTGGGTAGGACATGGGTAGATGAGATCCATGAGTAGGGATCAGATCAAGAGGTCAGTTTAGATCCGTGAGTAGGGATCAGATCAAGAGGTCAGTTTAGATCCGTGAGTAGGGATCAGATCAAGAGGTCAGTTTAGATCCGTGAGTATGGATCAGGTAAAGAGATAAACTTGCTATTAGTCTGGGAGTATGGATTAAGACTAAGTTAATTGTCCCTAGTCCGGGAGTATGGATTGGGCACAGTTATAGATCCGGGAGTATGGATCAGATATGGATTAAGATTAAGTTAATTGTCCCTAGTCCGGGAGTATGGATTGCGCACGGTTATAGATCCGGGAGTATGGATCAGATCAGGATTAAGGTATAGTTAATTGTCCCTATTCCGGGAGTATGGATTGGGTACAATTATTGATCCGGGAGTATGGATCAGATCAGGAGGTTAGTTTTAGATCCGTAAGTATGGATCAGGTAGTTTTAGATCCGTGAGTATGGATCAGGTGAAGAGGATAGTTTGAGATCCATGAGTAGGGATCAGGTAAAGAGGAAAAATATTTGATGCGAGAGTTTAGATCGTGTCATTGTGAGGATCGATGGGGTGGGTTAAAGAGTTGCCTCTATATGGCGAAATTGTGCAAGTTTGAATGTTTTATATTTATAAATATATGATATAACATTGTGGGATGAAAACCCTATATGCTCACCAGGCTCCCAAGCCTGACCCACTCAGTTTTCTTTGTATCACAGGTATTAATACGAAGACATATTTCACGGAGAGATTTAAAGGAGATATAAATCAATTGTGTAATTAAATGTAAGTTCGGCTTATGCTTATATGTCTGTATCGGAACATGACATCCCGAGGTTTTATTATTAAATGAAAATACATTCTCTTTGAGAAATGTTTTGATAAGTTATTATCATATCTTGTTTTGGGAATAAATTCCGCAACCGTATCTTTAAAAGATTACTCTGATTTTATAAAACAAAGCATAAGTAAAATCGGTCTTTTCTGGCCGTGAAAATGGGGATGTCACATATTATACCCTTAATGAATTTAGTTTTCATTTTTCTTTCACTTTATAAAATTATTATTATTATTAAATATAAAACCGGGCCCACCTCTCTTTCTCAAAAGAAAGTCAAACCCCTACCTACTTCATCTTCCCCGATCTATATCTGATGAACACACATACACATTGTTCATCCATGGCTGCATAATTTGTTGGTAATGAGGGTAATTTTGGCAGAAACATCTTGTTTGTGGTATATACAGATGTTTTGAATGTTCTAGCTTGATGAATGTGATATCAAGAACACCAAGGGATGCGTCAGATTTTTTATGTGAATTCAGGGATTTTGGGGAATGATTGAGATTGTGCAGCCCTTCCTTGATGAGCAACAACCAAATGTAGAGACTCGTTTTGCCATCACCACCACATGTACAAAAAAGAGGGATTGCGCGTCTTCTTCAATCGATTGGGAAGAAAATGCAGTAAAAGGAGGAAAAGGGTGGCGGCTCGGTGGTGTTAAATCAATCGTGTGGAGGAGAGAGGGCAGGCACCAGATTCTGGTGATGATTGAGTAAATCGCATGTAGGGGCGCCGGTAGATGGCTGTCGCCGGCATCTTCTTTCTCTTATGGATCGATTGGTAGCAAACACAAAAAGGGGAAAGAATGGTGGTTCTATGGTGGTGCTCGATGAATCCAGGGGAAGGGGCTATGAATATCAACTAAAAGAGATGGAGAGGTTTCTTGGCGGTTACTTCCTTGTTTGATTAGAAGAAAACACAAAAGGAGGGAGAGGGTGAGCAATCGGAGGCAACACAGTAGGTGATGGAAGGAGACAATGGTTTTTAAATCTGAAATGCCAAGAGGGAGAGAGGACAACAGGTTTTTCGACGTTTCTTCTCTCGGATGAAAGCTTCTGATGGGGCTATTGCCTTCGATCCATGGTGATAGCGGGGGCATGGGGTTGATTGGGGTGGTTGTGTGAGGCAGATCGTGAAGAAAGGGGAGGGTTCGTCGAGACCGGTGCTCCTTTGTTGGTCGAATCTCTGTCACCGGCTCTCACGAATCTACTGGAGCAAAGCAGCTGCAATGGATGGTTGGTTGGGCAGTGGTTGAAGGAGGAAGAACCATTGTTGCTTTGGCTGCGATCAAGAGAGAGAGAGGAAAGATGTGGGCCCCATAATATTTATTAATAAAACTTTAAATTAAATAGCAAAAACCATAAAAAAAATATATTAGAATGGCATTTTAGTCTTTTTAGTTTTCTGAGGGACTAAAAACGCAACGAAACTAGCTCAAAAGGACCATCAATCCAAAAAAGTCGTGGTTTGGACTGAAACCCCAAAAAAATGCATACCACAGGGACCATTTTTGCAATTTGTCATATATATATATATATATATATATATATATATATATATATAGAGAGAGAGAGAGAGAGAGAGAGAGAAAAAAAAAAGATAGGTTCATGTATTCTAACTAATTATTGTGTTATTGTATGCATAAATGTGAGCCAATCAAAATTGAATAAAAATTTAATTAATTAAATAAATAAATAAGGGTATTTTAGTAATTTGATAAATAGTTTCCACAAATAGTCCATGTAATCACGCTAACATTCACTTTTAACCTAATTTATTTTCTTATATACAGCAAGTCATCGTCTTCATCCCTCCTTTCTTTTGTCGATTGAGA